AACTCTCCAATGAATTATTGCGCACAAGCAAAACAAAGGTTAAAGCGTTTTAGACAGTTTCATGTATCTCCTTGTTCAAAAATATAGTTAGAGAGTGATTTTATGGGCATTATAATAATTTAATAGTTGAATTCATGAGTCACTTGAAGCTGGACTACTATAGAAAACCTGAAAACACTGAACAACCATTCCGTTCTAGTATGGGACATCTCAGAAGTACGCATCCGCCATCCCACCTCGCGAGATTCGAACCCAGGACCTTTGGTCACGCGTACAAACAGTTAGGCTCTACACCACTGAGCCGATATCCAACGGTTTTTAATGACTCATGAACTAACTATCAAATTACTATAATTTAATCATCATACGCTCACTAGTGACTGACTTCAAGATGTATTTCCTGGAGTTCTAGTAAGAAGCAGTGATCAGTAAAGTTCAACCGGGTCTTTTGTGAGATACTAACTCACTGATGACAATTGTGAACTATGGCGCAATTTCATGAATTAGTTGAAGTTAGAGATTAACACCCTTGGATTCCGACTCGGTGGTTTAGAGGTTAATTGTTTGAGCGCGAGACTGATATGTCCTTGGTTCGAATCACGCGTGAGAGATCGTGCATGCGCACTACTTAGGAATACCATACTAGGATAAGACGGCTTCCCAACGTGCTTCCAGGTTTTCCCTAGTGGTCTAGCTTCAATTGACTCATGAATTCAAAAATATAGTGTTTTACTTACTAAAATGCATTTAGTAATTCAGTTATGTCTCATATTTAGTAATTATGTTAAATTGTAAAATCATTTCATTTAGACTTATATTCGTTTCTACTCCTTCATGAAAAATATTCCGTTACCTTTATCCAAGTAGCTGATGTTGAAGTTATTAATCGATATCATTTTCTTTTAGATAGATTAACCTAGATTTCATACAATTATCCCTTTGCAGTTTTTATCAATATGATTTTGTCTATGAAATGTAATGCTCCCTACACTCATTTCTGGATTATATCTGATTATTGTTGGTACGATTGTTCTCTTCACTTACACTTGAAACATTATTTTAGTTATCTTGACAATGCTCATTCAATTGTTTTTTAATCACCAACTATATTTAACAATTTAGTTGATGATGAAAAAAATTGAATGAATCAAACTGTGACACGAGACTTACTACTTGGAATCGTGAAAGGAAATAGAAAAAGAAAATTGTCAAAACACACACAATACATGAAGAATTAGAAGTAGATATGAGAAGGATGAATAGCAACTTGAAAGGATTTTTCAGGACAGGGTTCGTTGGAGAATGCTGATAACTGGCCTATGCTCCTCCATGAAGGGTAACAGGCGTAACGAATTAAATGAGTATATTTTACAATGCAGCATGGATACTAGTCTGCTTCGCCAGGAATGTTTCAGAACTTTTTTCAGCTGTACATATGTATTACTATATTGTTTCACCAAAACTGTTATAAAAAATCAAACGTTTATACCTAACTCCGCCTGTAGCCCTTCAGGAGCTACTACTGATCCCGAACCCAGATAAAGGTGGAGGGTTTTGCATGGGGTTAGTGACCCCATCCCGTAGAAAAATAACCTCTTAAAAGAACGCTAGCCAAAAGTAAGTAACCTAAGTTGTGAAATCACTCCTTAAAATGAAATTACATAACATAGAGAATTCAAAACAATCATTTCTATAGGTTTTACTTTAATCAATTAAGAAGCTGCTCATCATATCACCTTACAAACTATGTTATATCACTGTTCAATATTCTATTATAAATGATACATTATTTCATTACCATTACATTCATTTCATTTCACTAAGATAAACATTAACATTTTAAATCAACTCACAGTTTACAAGATCAAAAACAACTATTTGTTACCAAAAAAAGACATTATTATTTCCCTCACCCTCACCCCTTCATCCCCAAATTTTATCAATGTCATGGTTACTGCTCACCTTTTCTATGCATGTTTGTTTGTTCTTCTTTTTGCTAGTGTTATTGTTGCTAACACTTTAAATTCCTTAATTTATTGATTATTGACTTGAAATTTATTTCCTCATCAACTATAATCTCTTGTTATTCATACTTAATTAGGTTTATTTATTTTCTTTTTTCTTTCTTCTAGTTTCTTTTTTTATTTTTTTATTATTTCAAATCGAATTTATCGAAAACAACGTTGTTTATAACAGTCATTCGTGGATTATTATTATCATTATTATGGCATATTTTGATATAACCCATAGTGTAACTTCTCTACATCAATATTGTTTGTTACGATGTTACCAAAAATTACAGAAAAAAAACATCAGTCACATGGTTTTTTTTTCTTTTTTTTCTTTCCTTCTTTTTTTAGTTTTTTTCTTTCTTTTTCTCTCTCACTCTCCTCTATAAAATAGTTGGCAATTTGTAAAATTAAATTAAAGTTACTAGAAAAAGTCAATAGATTGTTAGAAAGTTTGATAGTTTTTTATTGTTCTTTAAATTGGATGGTTTGATCGTGGAGTTTTCATTGTTCTTCTGATGATGTTGTTCAAAAGAACGTGAAAGTTCCATGACCAAGTCATCCAGTTCAGAGAACAAAAATCCATCAAAATATATCCACCTAAGCTACAAATCTTCTCCACCATCTCAATTGTTGAAATTGTTGGAAACAATCATAAATAATCTTCAATACAGATAGTGTCATTTTGTGTCATTTTGATGTCTGATGTAATCAACTTTAAAAGAAATGTAGTCTTCACTGATTAGTAAATTCGAAGATATAACTGTGTTGTTTTGAAAATTATGAAATTCATATCAAAAGGGTTTCGTCCCATACTAGGAGGAAACGGTCATCCACTGCTTCCAGGTTTTCCATGGTGGTCTAGTTTCAATTGACTCATGATTTTAACAATTGAAATTGCGAAATTATTCAAAATAGTTCTAATTTTATTGGTAGAATGATGAATTGGAAGTTAAGATGGTCGATGTTTAACCAGTAAATTCTAGGTTCGAACCCAATGCCTTGGTACAGCCCCCAAATGCCTTGATACGGCCGACAGTGGGGAGAGTCCGCTTTCCCTCTCCAAATGCTCTCATATGGCCACGCGTATATAGCCTCTGCCAGGGAAGTCCTACTCACTGCCTTCTCGTGGCATTACTGTTGTTTACGAAAATGAGAGGACGAAAAGCGAATGTCCGGTGCTTTAACCGGATCCCAAACCAATGTTGCACATGGGCTCCAGTATCCTTCGGGAACAAATGGCGTATGAACCAATTGTTGGTCATCGGCTTCCATTGGACTGCATCTCCTTACGATGTTCCACTGCCTTGTGGATCACACCTTCAGGTCGAAGGCTCGGGGAGTGGCCCCCTAAGATAACCACCTGCTTCGGTTTGGGCACCCGGGCAGTATCACAGCCCTCACACAAATCTAGTGAGATTTGTGTGGCGCATATGTATTTGTTGCCTCTTTGTACCAATACCTATGTGTTGAAATAAATAAATAAATAAGGTTCGAACCCTATTCTACCTAGTTATGATTATATAATCGAGTAATATCATTAACCTTTACTTATACATCTTTTCCCCATACCCATGAACTTGATGAATAGGTTAATTTATTGATTAATCTTATTGTGTAAACGCATACTGTTATTGAATGAATATAATTTTATATAAATTATTAATAATACAAAATTAAAACGAAGATGCTTTAGTTAAATGATTCACTGAGAAGATGAATATTTTCAAAACTCTATAATATAGTATAGTGTGTGCTACTGATATCCACAGATATAAGAAGTATGTATCATCAATCGAAAGTGAAATACCTGGTGGTGGAAGATTAAGAAGATCGAAGTAAAGAGAACGAGAACAAAGAATGATTAGTGGGGAAACGAAGGAACAATGCAGTCTGAGACGATTGATTGACATTTTGCAAATGAAGTATTTACTGTCTGGTACTCAGGTTTTACTAAGTGATTCTGTAATTTTACATTCAAATACATCTAATTATCCTTAGTGGTGTTTTCGTTCACTACAATAGTACAATATGTTTCGATCAAGTTGATTACACACTAAATGTCCGGAATGGTGTTGTTTGTATTATATCCCTGTGTTCCAATTATCATACTGTACTTTGATTCTCATTATATAAGTATCTTAACAAGTTTATGTTCCATTGAATTATCGTTCGAAAAGTATTGGGCTAATTTATGTCGCATCAACATGATAAACTTCTCATAACATTATCTAAATTTACCAAAGCGATTAACTAATTTCAACCTCCGTTAACAAAGTTTTTGTCTTGTAACATTTTAATAGTTGAATTTATGAATCAATGAAAGCTGAACCACCATAAAAAAAACCTGGAAGCACTGGACGGCCGTTTCTTTCAAATATTGGACTCCTCAGCAGTGTGCATCCACGATCCCGCCTGAAGAGTCTCACAATAGAACTAAATGGCCGTCCAGTTCTTCCAGGTTTTCCGTTGTGATTTACTTCCAATTGACTCATGATCTAGACTACTAAAATTATTATAATATCCACAAAACCCCACTCTAAAAGGATCTTAGTGGCTGAGTTTATTTAGTTCCAAAGTTAGACTAGACGACAACGTACTTTATGGGTTTTTTCGCGAGAAAATAATCAGGAGTTCAATTATCCGAGATAAATAGGATCAAAATAACCTGTTACCATCCAATCATATACAAATGCTGGATATCATGTATAATGTGATAAAAGTCATTTAAATTGGATTGTATTCAAATTATGCCATATAATGATGTAAGTGTATTTTCATGTTATTTTGTCTAACGCTCAGTGAATGTGAATGATCTAGACATTCATTAGAATCATATTAGTTACTCTTCTATAGTTATTAATAAACTGAACTTGTCAGAGCATAAGTTAACTGAATATCTACAAGCAAGCGTATTTATTTATTTCATTATGTTAGTAAAATGTTGTATATAAACATTATGATTTACTATACAATTATAAATAAATTTACTTGGACAGCAATCCAATCACTCTTGATGGCGAAACTCTGGAAGATGTAGAACCCTTCACATACATGGGAAGCATAATCAATGAATAAGGAGGTTCAGATGCAGACGTAAAGGCCAGGATTGGCAAAGCAAGAGGCGCATTCCTACAATTGAACAAACAACATATCCAACTTGAAACAACTGTCTGTCAACCAATATCAAAGTCACAATCTTCAATACGAACGTCAACACAGTCAGTTCTACTGTATGGAGCTGAAACTTGTACAACTACTACAACCATCATCAAGAAGGTACGAGTATTCACAAATAGATGTCTACGCAAGATACTCAACATCCATTGGTCGGATACCATTAACAACAGCCTTCTATGGGAGAGAACAAACCAGATTCCAACTGGAGAGAAAATTCAGAATAGACGATGGAAATGGATAGGACATACATTATTCAAATCATCAAACTACATCACGACTGAAGCCTTAACTTAAAATGGTGAAGGGAAGCAGAAAAGAGGAATGCCAAACTGCACATTACGTTGGGAAATACAATCAGATATGGAAAGGATGAATAACAACTGGAAGAACATGAAAAGTATTGCCCAGGACAGGGTTGTATGGAGAATGCTGTTGAGCGGCCCATGCTCCTTCACGAGGAATAACAGGCGTAAGTAAAGCAAGTAAGGTATTGTTTACATACAAATACATCCAGTTGACGAGTCACAAATAGGACAAAACACACATCTTGGATTTCATTACTAGCCACTATCCATCTTTGTTTATAATTGTAAATAAGATGTTTTTAATATTCTTAATGTTAGACATGATATTGTATGCCAAAGAAAGATACAACGAATTTACTATTGATTTATATATCAATCAATAACTTGAGTTCTGTAACTAATTACATCTCGTCTTATTTATTTAGTGTTCTAATTCGATAACAAATATGACACTATGTCTATTATATTCTGTTATAAAACCCTAAAACATTTGGAATGATACTCGATTCGTAGAAATCAATTTCATCTCATGTTTTTACTGTCAATTCTTAAACTTTCTCATGTCATTCGTCATTCTGTTGATTGAAGTCCTTATATCCTTCATCGAATTGTATAAATTCACTAGACTGTATAATTACACCATTTGAGCTAATTATTTTTAAACATTCTCAAATGAAATAATTAATCTCTTATATGTTCTCTCTTATTATGTTCTCACATACTTTAATAAAAGGAGTGTAAACGAAAGAGCTGACAACTATTACATAAAAAAGCAAATATACTTCAGATAGTTCATCCTTCTGTATGTTGAAGCAAATGATCAAGTTTTAGACATACTAAATGTAAAATAGATGATCTGTGATACCTTATTGAGGACATAAAGAATATTGTATAGATAGTGACTAAAAATCACTTTGACTGATGATGAATGAAAAATATCCGGTGCAACACATCATGCACTAATCAAATCACACTTGACGGAGAAGATTTGAAGATGTAAAAACATTTACAAATCTGGACAGCATCAATCATGAACACGATGGAACTGATGAAGATGTGTAGGAGCGGGTTGGTAAAGCAAGAACAACATATGTGCAATTGAAGAATATCTGGAACTCAAAACCACTCTCTGTCAAACAATACCAAAGTTAGAATTTTCACCACACATGTCAAGACAGTTCTACTGTATGGGGTGGAAACCTGGAGAACTACGAAAGCCATCATCCAGAAGATACAACTATTTATCAACAGTTGTCTACACAAAATACTTCGGATTCGTTGAACAGATACTATAAGCAACAATCTACTGTGGGAGAGAACAAACCAGACTCCAATGGAGGAAGAAATGAGAAAGAAGCACTGAAAGTGCATAGGACACACATTGAGGAAGGCACCGAACAGCATCACAAAGCACTCCCTCACACGGAATCCTCAAGGCCAAACAAAGGAGAAGGGGATGGTCAAAGAACACATTAAGTCGAGAAATGTAGACAGATATGAGAAGAACGAACAAGAATTGAATAGAACTAGAAAGGAAGGCGCAGGACAAAGTGGATTGGCGAATGCTGGTCGGTGGCCTATGCTCGAATGTGGGTAACAGGCGCAAGTAAGTAAATGAAAAATATTCAGTTATGTAAACACTTTCTTAATCATATATTTTTGGAATCTTTACAACTAAAGTTAATGCAGAGGATAAATTTTAGTATTTTATGCTGAAAGATTTTGATTGCTTACTCATTGTTTATCCTCTAATTTTCTCTATTATTTTTCTTTGGATTTCTGTTGAAAAAAAAGTCTTGTTTGCTTTGCTTAAAATTTTGAAAAAAGAAATAGGTGATCGTTCTGTTATAAGATTCAAATTACCCAGTTTTTTTTTAATTTCAATAGTTGAAATCATGAGTCAATGGAAGCTAAACCACCATGAAAAACCTGGAAGCACTGGATGGCCGTTTCGTCCTAGTATGGGACTCTTCAGCAGTGCGCATCCACGATCACGCCGGACCAGTGATCTAGTGGTTAAGTCCTCGCGCGTGAGAGCGATAGGTTCTGCTTTCGAATCTCGCCGGGGGATCTTGGATGCGCACTGCTGGAGAGTCCCATACTAGGACGAAACGGCCGTCTAGTGCTTCCAGGTTTTTCATGGTGATCTAACTTCAACTAACTCATGATTTCAACTATTGAAATCACTAAAATCTATACAAAATCCCTTCTTAAATTTTCATTTGCTTATCTTTTGTCAGAATCCAAATTAAGGTAAATTAAAATTCATAGACATTAACAAGAGTGCGAATAATCTACATTATTGTTTTTAGCATATAGATTATGAGGTGAAAAGTTTTTAAGGATTGAATTAAACGAAAACATGTACCTTTGAACAACAATAATGTCACCTGTAACCGTTCTGTGACTATTGCTAGTCCCCAGTCAGGTTAAAGGAGGAGGGTTGGGCATGGCATGGAGTTAGCAACTCCATCCTCTACAAAACTAACTCGCTAAAAACAACACTAACCAGTAAAACTAAAACTTTAGAACATGGATCTTTATTATTGACTATTGAGCAGATTTTCTTACCCATATAAAAATATTCCGTATATATTACATAAATACGTATATATGATGTCGTCTTTGAACAATAAATGGGTTTTTGCGACATTATATTCTATGAATTCCACGTAATATCAAACAAATAACATTAAATAGAGCGATTATTTCTATCATTATAATAATTAAATAAATAATGTTTAGGACTGCAATTGATCAGCCACTTACTGGCATATGTACATCCTGTACGGATTACCTCAATATTACCACTAATTTACAAGCATTCTAAGTAAAGATAGATGATGACTAAAAGTAAAATCCAGGACGTGCGTTTCGTCCTATTTCGAATTCATCATCAGAATGTACCTGAATCTCAAAGTTGATATTCAGTCTGGGGCTCGAAACCAGTACAGTTCACTTCGAACAACATCGTATTATCCACTTAACTACTAAGTGCTAATAGCAACTTGCTTATGCAATTTTAGTGAAGTTTAAATTGATTTGGTATTGTACACTAGAATCCTCCCATTGATATTTAGAACTGCAATTGCTTGTATATTATCTTAATTCACAAGTATTATTATAAGTATAGATAGATAAGGACTAACAGTAGAATCCAAGACATAGGTTTCGTTTTATTTAGGACTCATCATTTGGATATAATTATATCCCAGAATTGATTTCATGCCAACTCCTAATCATCATCCAACTTACATATATTGTTCATTTATATCTAGAAAGTTATGTCATGTAAACCAATTCATTTATTCTAATAATTAAATTATTTCAAGTAGATTCATTATTTTTTTCTATTCTATTATTCAATTAACTATCAATAGTGACATTTTTCCCTTGTATACTGTTGACATGAATCACTAGCATTGAAATCTTTAAATTCGTCATTTACGATTCCAATAATAATCTCTAACAATAAAGATCACTATGACTGATTTCAAGATATCAGTATGATGGACATATTGAATACTACTACTATTACGACTACTACAACAACTACTACTACTACTGATAATAATAATAGTATCAGCTGTTTTAATCTATAGATGTTATACATTTCCATTTTAACAACGATATCAACAACAACAACAAAAGAGAAAAAGGAAAAAGAGAACAAAAAAGAGAAAAAGAAAATAGAAAAATTAAATGTGTTTCTTTGAAGAAAAAAACAAAAGAGAAAAAGAAAAACAAGAATGTATTTTGAGATAAATCACTGTTTATAATACTAATTACTTTTTTTTCTTTTTTCAGTAATATTTTGTTATAATGTCAATAAATTAGAAGTAAAATAAAGTGAAAATGTTGAAATATTTGGTTTAATTATAACTAGGGAAAACTAGAAATGATGTACACGTAATGTCAGTCAGTTAGTCATTCAGTCAACAACGTAGAATGTCGTACGTACGTACGAACGTACGTACATACATCAGTTCGGGTTGCTATACCATATTAGCACAGAGGTACAATTGTTGATCCAAATCCCATAGTGATAGAGGTGACAAGAGTAAAAAAACAGTAATCGGAAATATTTTACATAATGATGCTGTTGTATATGTGACATGTGTATTCTTTTTAATACAAAGATGTCTACATAAGTTAAGTAGTCAACAAGAGAGATTGTGATATTCCACATAGATTGATTTAGTTTATAACACAGCTATCAGTATATTTCAGTAAATGATAGATAGTCTTGATAGACTTCTAACAGAATTAAGCAGTTTGAATATTGTCAGCCTGGTCGGTACAGTCAATCATCACAAAACAAAAGAATAAATATCGGCTCATGATCTCAATCAAAAACTTAATAATCTCCACAACCCCTATACTAGCAATCAACATATGCTCACTAGTGACTAGCTTCGTGAGGGAATTCTCGGAGATCTAGTGAGAAGCCGTGACCAGTGGAGCTAATCCTTGTCGGGTAGAGACAGGTACCTACCTCAGTACAACGGAAGTTGAACGCGCAATTTCGTGGATTGGTTGATGTTAGAAACTATCACCATTGGATGGCGGCTCAGTGGTCCAGTTGGTTAAGCGTTCGCACGCAAGACCGAAGGCCCTGGTTTGAATCCCGTGAGCGGGATCGTGGAT